TAATTAATTCTTGATTATCAGTAATCGAATTAATTAATGGACATTATATCTTAAATATAGAGAGCTAATTCGGGTAATTATTATTGGAGTCTCAGTTGTAATTTGGGCTAGGAAAAGAGAGTGCAATAAAATAATGTTAGTGGCCCATAACATTATTTAATTAATTGGGGGAGTAGGTCAGGGCCACACTTAGTCCATTAATTAAGAAGCTCTATCCCTAATCTTCTAAGGGTCCCTATTATAGCTATATATATACATCATTAAGCTTATGGAAAAGAGAAGAAGAGATCAGAATTCTTCTACATGTGTACACAACACACGCGTCTCTCTTTCTCTCTCTCTCTCTCTCTCTCTCTAAGTTTTCTGTGCTCCACCGATACAAGTTGAAAAGGTGTTCGAGTAATAGTAGAAGATCCCGAGGTTATCAAAGTACATATATTCATCAACCGCAGAGCTGATAGATCGTGACCCGCCAACCGCCGTGATGAGCCACGACCCGTCAGAGACCATACGGACCGCCGTCGTGAGCAGCCGGAGCCGATGCTACCAGCCCGGCGGACCCACACTACTGGTTCAAGAGCCCGACCGACCCGTTCGTGTTCCCAACTTGCTCGTGTGCCATTCTCGGTAATCCTGAATCCTTCAGATTTAGAAAATTTTAAGCCGTAAGTTTCCTACGTCAAACTTTTAGATCCGTTGTGGATAGGTTTACGTTTGCTATTGAATTCATAACTTGTACATAATGAGATCCTCATAGATCCCAACACGCTAGACGTCCTCAAGGTGCTCTAACTGACCTAGGTCACCCCGAGAGCCCAGACTTGCAACACGTTTCTGAGCAAGCAATCGCGTGTCCCAATGCCTCGCGTTCAACAGTGCCAGCGTGAGCAACTACTCGTGTGACTGTGCCCGCAGACCCGTGACTTGTCCCAGGCACCCAGCTCGCGACCTGGTGCAGCAAGGTCGACCCGCAGCACAGGCAGCACCGAGGCGCGATGGCAGCTGCGCACGGGCGTCGCGCCACACGCATCCCGCAACCTGCCAGCACGGTCGGACCTGAACCAGTGCCCACTTCACACAGACCAGGGAGTCCAAATCATTCCACCAAGCCATTTTTAGTTGTTTAAATTGTTTTCCGTGTCGAACCTTATTTTAGCCTCGTCAACCTTTTTTCGAGCCTTTTTGAGAGTTCTAAATTCCACTAAAATTTTAAAAATTACTTAATCAATAATGAGATTGATCAAGTTAAAATTTGTTAACCTCCAAGAGAATTGGGCAAGTTATTTATAAGAATATTATTGTCTTATAATGTGGATTTTGAGAAGTCGAGCGCTCGAGTGTCTGTGTGAAGCATCTACTTTGTCTTCATCATCCGAACTGAGATGAGTGTTGCTGAACTACTATGCCTTTATGCTTTATAATCACATGATTTTATAATTGATGTATGTGTATGGATATATGTTGTGTGACAAATTTGATTGTGTGGCGCAGTGACTGTGTGGCGCCTTCAGTGTGAGCTCCTGTCGTTGAGCGCCTGGTGACGGTGAGCGACTGTAAAAGTATGTGCACATGAGACGACTGATAAATGGAGACATTGGCAAATGAGAACATTGTTGTTTATCAGTAATGCTCTCCTACCCACGGTGGGCACATGTTAATATGTCCACCGCTTATGTGGCATGCACACATTGGTGATGTTAATATGTTCAAAAAAATACATTACCAATGTGTGCATGCCACATAAGCAGTTGGCATATTAACATGTGCCCACTGTGGGTAGGGGAGCATTACTGTGTTGTTTATACCCATGCTATAAATTATGCTATCTGTTATTATACTGCATAATTGCATAGTATTTTGACGGTGAGTTTATTGTTTGTTCACCACCAACATTAACATTTTTTAGGTTGAGCAACTAGCTGCGGTCGCAAGGAGATGAGGGTGGTCGGAGTATTTTTTATATTGATTTTTACTGCTTCCGCAAATGAATTTTCTTATCTTGTGTTCTCTCGAGTTTGATATTGAATCCATGCATGTGTGAGGAGATCTTTTACTTTGTGTTTCAAGACTTCGTGAATGGGAAATTAGTTATAACTCGAGTTGTAGAATGACGCAATTTTCGAATAATGCCCAAGATTTTTAAATTGTTACAACTTCTGAAAAAAATCAAATTATTTCGAAAAAATGAGAGCATGTTTGGATATGAAAAATTTTGATTTTATTGGAATTTTTGGTTTGGTTTGGTTAATTTTGAAAAATGTAGTATGGTTAATTGTTAGTGGGTATATTAAAATAATATTTAAAATAAAATAATTAAAATTTGATGTGATTGTTAGTTAAAATAATGTGAGTAGATTAATAGTGAACTAAGGTTGATGTGATGTGTATAAATGATTGGTTGGTATTATTTTATTATATTGTTAATATTGATGATAGTGATGTTGAGTTAAAGTTGAGTTAAAAAAAGTGGTTGAGTTAAAATGTTGAAATTTTTTGTGAGAATTTTTGTATACAAACATGCTCTCTCTAAAGAGAAAAAGTACGTAGGAGTTACAATTTTGTCTTGCCTACGGTTGTAGTATGTCTAGACCACCTTTAGACGTGTTCTCCCAGTTTATCTTTTTTAGTTTGTTGCGAGTTGGATTTTTAGCCGTTCTATTCGATCTTTGTTCGCGGTTTTGAGGTGCTATATATAGTTTCTCCCATCGTTTTTTTTTTTTTTTGGAAAAATTAATTAACCACCGACAAAAAAAAAGTTCATGCCTGAAAAATATTGCTATTGCAGTATTGCTACATTATATGTCACACTCCCTTTCATTTTGTTGTTTCCTTTGGTCATATAAATGTAATAAAATAAAAAGAGAGGCTGAAAGCCAAATCTTATCTTCGCTGCATGACCAGTAGAGCCGTCCAAAGCAGGTGGTAAAAAAATAATTAATAAAATGTATTCTAACTCTATACCTATAGTGTTGAAACCAAAACAAGAAGGCAATATGGAAAAATGCCGATTTACGCTGACAGAAAACTTCCCGGCCAAAGTCATTGCCGAGTGAACTCTCACGTTGTGTTAGCATATGATATACGAAACCAATAAATTCATCTTAATATCCGTATACAGACGATTCCCCATTCTTCCATGCTTGTTTCATCTGCAACAGATTGGTCCTAAGGCTGTATTCTTCCACCTGCTCAAGTACATAGAAAGCCCACCAGCGATTTCGTTAAAAGGAACTTTCCATGTAATACGAAAAAGTTGGAACGTTTAAGCCCATGGCAAAATCGTGAACTCGTCAGTGACACTTAGCCGAGTATATCAATCAATTAGGTGTAAGGAAAAAAATCTGCAATAATACTGATATAAACACTTTCCGCTGCCCCGACACACTGAATACTAGAACCTACTTGAATAATATTGGATGCGGAATAGTGTGATAAATTGCAAAAATCAGCCCTCAGGTAGAGTCTAAATACAAAAGATATGAATTATCATTTGAAACAAAAAATAAAAGAAACACACTCTTGAGTTGTTACAATATCTTGACTTGCTTTTACAAAATGGTGCAATTTGTACAGTAGAAACATACATCAATAGGTAATTTTGGAAATTTTACAATGATTAATTTTTATTCTATTTATTTATTTGGTAATTCGGCTAGAATAAGCAATTATCCATAAAGATAGTCTTACACAGATTCTGTACTCTTGTAATGCATGCATCTTCATTAATGGAACTGAGTCCCATCCTCTTAACACATAAAGGGAAAGCCAGAGAGCAGGAAGCATAACATAAAAAAAGAAGTGGAACCTGATCTTGCAATAATTTTGGGTTTCCCTTACCTGCATTGCAGCTGTTGAGCCCAAAACTGATTCACATTCATCGAGCACAGCTCTCTCATGTGCCACCAAGTTAGCAAGTTCAGACACCAAGCTGTTCATCCCCTCCACCTGCATCATTCAATAAAAACCTTTAAACCCGTTTTGTTCTTACATTAACCCATCGAAGTAGATTGAACAACAGTGTAATAGTTTATCAACTACTCAATAATCAAGTCTATCGAGACATATTAAGTGCAAGTAACGCTACAAGGCACCTAAATCAGGTCTACTCGTCCAGAACTTTACAAATTCCTTCGGCGACATTGTCAACCTCAACTCCCAGGGTCTAATTTAATATTTGGTAATATTGTACGATAAATAAATTATGGCGGGGTGTTTCAGACATTAGTTGGACTGGAACATGAGATAGATGTGGATATAAGAAATAAAGAGTGGGATAAAGTAAATGAGAACTTCAAGTAACTAAAAGCAATCCAAGACATAAACATGGCATTGACTGTACAATGCATCCTTCTTTTAAGACATAATTCTCAATAATATACATAAACATGAGCATGATAAGTATATATGTGTACATAATCATACAACCTACTGAGAAACTATCATTAGTTAAAGTTCCCTTGACCACTAAGCTAAGTGAGATTTACTGTATACATGTAGGACATTGGGACCATGTCAACAGTGATCCATGTCCTTGTGAATATAATTTTAAAAAGTAACGATCAAAGAGGATACTCACAAATATATACATGAATCAGCATACACTTAAATTTGGGTACTTCAGTAGAAGGGTTACATGGAATTAGGCATGTGCTCCACTGTCACAGAGCTTGTGTTACATAGAGCATACGTATCTATTCAGGTTTAAGTGCATTCATTTAAGATGAAAGATAACAGTCAATTCTGAAGCTCACATGTGAACCCACCAAATCCAGCGGACAATGCTCAAGTAAGAGCCTAATTCGAGGAAGTTAGGAAGTTTCTCTTAAGTTTTATCTCATCAAACGATCCTCACATATTTAGTAACTTCAGGTTCAACAAGTCAATCAGTGTTTTTAGGTCAACGAGCGCATAATCCTAGAATATTTGTCATCAGTCATCGAGAAAATTGCACAATTTGATAGAATTATCAACTAGTCTTACATGGGAAGACTACAAATATTGAAACAGATGTTATCTTACCCTTGAAAGTATGGAAAACAAAGAGGATCCCATCACCTGCATAACATCAACAGCAGCGCATATTGCCGCTTTAACAGTTTCAACATCTCCCTGGAAAGAAAAAGAAAAAGAAAAAAAAAAAATTGCTTTAGTTATTTCTTGAAAATAATGTTTTCAACCAATAGCTAGTAAAAATTCATACCCTCGCTCCTCCAGTGACTGGAATACGAATCGTGCTTGCCTGCAGATCTTGGATGGCCCAGGTTAACGAGTTAACATGATCCCTTTCGATTAAAGCCCACTCGTCAAGTGAATTTACCTGAGCATATATTCATGAATTAGAAAACATGTGGATTCCCAAAAAATACACATCTACATAATGACGGGACGAAGAGAGGCATTACTTGATTGTTCAAAACTGAGTCAAGCTTCAACTTGAGCCTAAGCTCCTGGAGTTCCATCCTTTTCTCCATTATAGAGTCCCAAAGATCAGCAGTTATAATCCACACGCTGTACAACATATTCTGCACCATCATAATCGACTTGGGGATTTACAAAAGTGTGAATGAATTGAACTTAAAAGAACGTATAAGAAGGAAGAATAGCAAATTATAAATAAAACTCATTTCCAAAATGAAATTGAGAAGTATAATATGCTATAGTTCAGACGAACTAAAATAAAGCATCTACCATATGCATAGAATGAGCAACTCTAGAACAGAATCCCAAAAAAAGCAGTGTCTACATCATTCATGCATACCAAGAAAACTCAAAATTTAACAACGTGCAACAGTCAGAAAAAAGAAGAACGATTAAATACATATTATCCAAAACAAGAGGTCACAACAGATATAAATCGAACACTTAAAACTTGAGCAAGCTAAAAGTATACACGCACAAACCTCCGCTTTCATTTTCTGATACTGCAAGGCAGCGCAAGTATGGGCATTCGCATACCGCCATTGCAAATGTCTGTTGTACAACATCCGCAGCTGATGGACATCCTCTATGTAGTTCGCGGCCTTCTTTCCACTCTTAATATCTGCTATGAAAGAAAGAACAGAAGCCAAAGGGCCTTGAGGTTGTCTGGAAGGGCTGGACGGTCTTCCACGGGATGGACTGGAGCCTCTAGAGGAAGGGTTGTTAACAGGCTTCCCTCGAGAAGGGCTGACCCCTCTGCACATGGATGGTGATGGAGCCCGTGAACCTCTTGATGGGCTACACAAGGCCCTAGCTGCAGCTTTCACCAACTGCATCCTATCAGATGAACTCGAAGGTCCCGGCTTTTGCGCCTGAAGTAGACTTTCATCCACTGAACATCCACTCGAAGCCGATTTTCCACTATCATCACGTGATAACTGCATCAGCAAATCACTTGTGGATTTGTGTGGAGGCTTAGTTGCCCCACTCTCAAGAGATAATCTCCTGAGGAAAGAGGTGCCACTTCCTGAGCGGGACAGCCTCGGACTTGTGCCATTCTTATCACCCAAATCGATGCTTCTATTCAAATCACCGTTAATTCTGCTCGGCCATCTGTGTTGTTCTACCAAACGAGAATGTGATAAACTGTCGACGGGTTTAGAATTTTCAGATTGGTCGGGGAAATTCTTCCCCTTAAGCGGGCTCCTCTTCCGTTCCAGCGTGCGCTTACTTGAGCCCAAATTCTCAGCCTGTTGTCTGTGAGCAACATTTGGAGACAGCCTCAGAGTTCGATCCGGAAGCGTATGGGAAACAGGCTTTTCTCGTTTGCTAACAGGAACGGAGTAAGTGTCGGACTGAAAAGAAACACTAAGGCTCCGCATAGTGGTAGGCCATAAAGACTCTGGGAACTTGTTGTTGCCAACAAGTTTTCTCGAGATCATTTCCGCCGATGTATCCTGGATAGGTGTCGATGGGGATGATGGTCGGGAGGGCCGTTTTTTCTCGGCTGATGAGGCCCTTTTCGGAGCCAACAGGGACGAGACTGAGGACGATGGGGTGGTGTTTGGGGAAGGGTTGCGTTTGGCCGTGGATGGTGTAGGTGATCTGTGCCTTGAACTAACTTCACGGGCTTGTGCCCGAAAAGCAGGTCCATTCTTGTTCTTGTTCTCGGCTGGGACTAATGGCTGCCTTTTGGTTGGCTGTGCCGTAGATTGCTTCTGTAATGCTTGCTCAGGTTCACACACATCCATTCAAACCGCTGTAGATCAGACCACATTGATGGACCCTTTCATCTGTATATCAAAAAATGGATCCTTTGGTTGGGTTCGTCTCAAAAAATCTGCCAAAAGAAGTTGAGATAACATAAGTGGGAAGACAGAGGAAAAGCGAAAAGAAAAAGAAGCCAAGGCATGAAGAAAAAGGAAAAGATGCTCAAGAGAAAGATACATCTTTACAGATGGATCTCAAAGAGATTGAAATTCCGTAATTACGGCCAACAAATGTAAATCAGTCTTCGGAATTCATCATCACACATCCAACTCAGCTCCAAAGTTGGACAGATCGCATAAAAATTAACAGAGATCATATATTAGCAGATGGAGAAGACAGTGAATTTAGGACTTCCCCTTAGAAATGGGGAAGGGTATGAGAAAACAGTAAACTAGTATATATAACTATTATAACTATAACGTAAAAGGGTGGGTGTCGAATAAGAATGCCCCTGCTTTCTTTCACTTTCTTTATTATTAATAATAATAATAATAATAATATATACATATATATATATTTTCTTGTTTTCTCCTTAAATTGGTTTGGTCCCCCAACCTTTTGTTCCTGTCACGGGTATACATACCATTGTTGGTTGGGTGCGTTTTGCTCCATATGCAATACACACACATATACACACTCAAGTGCAAGTAAAACTCACATTCAATGGCCCCTTTTGCTTCTCTCTCTCTCTCTCTCTCTCTCTACACGCGCACACACACACCCACAGAAAAAAATGAACAAAATATTTGTAATGATCAACGGTCAAGCAAGCAGACACAGTGAAATCGAGAATAAAACTACAGGACAACTCTTGAACAAATGTGACTTCAGTAAAAACTCCAAAAAAAAAAAAGAAAGAAAAGAAAATCCAGAACTATGATTCCAATTTGTTATGCATTTTTGCCAATAAAGAACTATGATACCATGTGGAGGTGGAGACTACTGTCCATCCCCATGAATGAACTCACAGCACCCCAAATGCACATAACAAGGCACAAACATATATATATATATATATTTTAATTGTTACCCGCCATTAATTAGCATTGATTAAGCACAATTATGAGCAGAAATTATGGGGCAGGAGATTTATTGAGTCTTTGTTCGCATCATGTGGAACAAAAATCGCCGCGGATCAATTTCTAATTTTATAGAATTCAAAAAATGAAAACATCGAGGAATTTTTTAAATTTTCGACATGAATAAATGCAATAAATAATGATTTGCGCTTTGTCAGGTTTTGTGCCCAAATTTGACGACATCTACAGATTTCGACAATTTACTTTTTTTGCCCATAAAAGAAGCTTCAGAAAACAAAGGATGTAAAGAGCCGATCGGAATTTC